TGATTCAAGGTCTTTGTTCGGCTTATGTATAGGCGGTTCTGCAGTTTCAAAAGTGGTTCCTCGGTCTTGGGGTCTTTTTTGGAGATTGATCGCTTCTCTGCTGCTCGGCCGGCTTGTATGCTGCGGAAGGGCATGCCCATTGTTATTTAGCTATTTATTATGTTTTGTGTCGTTTAAGACTGTGTTGTTTTTCGTTAGGTGTTTTTGGTTTAGGCCGTTGGCCCATGTATTGTGTGAGCCCGACTGTGTTCGGGTATTATCCCTTGGGAATCGTTCATATTCTCCCGTGGGGAGCTTTGTGTTGTTTTGTTTATGTTGCAGTGTCGGTTGGGTCTAAGTCTTGTTTTTGGTTTCTAGCTTCGCTAGCTGCGGTTCTAGGCGATTTCTTACATGTCCTCCCACTTTTTCAGTCGTTGGTTGCATTATTCAACTATTGGTTGTACTTTGCACATTTATGCATTTTGATTTATAATATTTCTATCGCTTCGGAAAAAAAAATACTAACTTAATAAATAAATTAAGGTATTAATAAAAGTTTCTAAAATGTAGTCAATTTTGTTTGATACTTGGTGTGAAATTACACGGGAATCCTACGAACTGATATGTATTTTTCAGTTCTTACAAATAATCTAAAATAGAAAACTATAATTGAACTCAAAGATAAATTACAACTGGAAAAACAAAAAAAAATTATCGAGGCGAGTAAAACTCTTTTCGCAAGAAGAATACGCCCCATGTGTTGCTAATGGTTCAGGCGTAACTTCTCCAAAGATACAACGACAAACGTCTCTAAATCTGTAGCACACCAGATTTACGAGCTCCGGCGAACGGGAACGGAATCGAGAATTGAGCACTTAGAAATAAAATGAATATTTTGAAACAAATAAAAATATCACTTGTTTCTTCTCTTTTGATATTTTTATATCCGATATTTGGACATAAATATTTCTATTCTTTCCTTTCTCTTTCCTTCCTCTCTCTTTTTTTTCTCTGTTCGGTGCGTTTATCTCCTCAGACTACTACACCTATTTATAGTAGTTTCAATAACATTAAAAATACCAATATAATAAAGTGGTTGGAGATTGGGTGGATGATTGGACGTCCACTATCATTTTTAACACTCAATTTGCATCTATAATTGATACAAAATAATTAAAAAAATTTTCACCAATCCACTATCATTTTAACAATCAATTTGTATCAATAATTAATACAAAATTATTAAAAATTCTTCCCCAATTTACACTCAATTATAACAATCCCCCACATGAGTGTAAATTAAATATATATACTATTGTGCTCAATCTTCACAAAACTCTATTGCATCAGATAAGGTAGTTTTTGGCTTTTAACCTTTCTTAGTAAACATCATCGGATGCACTGCGGCCTAGTAGACATAATGCCTTGAACTATTCCTCCATAGTGTACACCGAGACAATGACATTCACACAATAGAGTTTTAACTCCATTTCATTCTATCGTTGTGTCCGTTTTGGCCATAGACAACACAATGGATTCATAAGTATTTACAATTGAAGCGGCCCACACTTCACACTTATATAGGTGACCTCTCTATCAAGAGTATCCTGTCTTACTCCATCTTTACAAGGTTAGGGATTCATTAAAAGTCCATATGACTTACCCTCACCACAATCAACAGGTAATCTTGCACTTGGAGTGCTCTAGGAATAGTTTTGGACATTCATATGTTCCAAATGTTCAATTGATTTTTCATAGCTTAGTTTTCCCTTTGAACCAATTCGTGGGATCTCCACTCCAGCATTGTAGGGTTACCACTATGATCATTCTTTACATTGTAGATTTTTAAGCCCATTCCCTCTAGCAAAACCGCCAATTGATCTCTATTCAATCCTTTCGTCAAAAGATCAGCCAAAATT